AAGAAAAGAAAAACTGAAAGAGGTTCTGAAGTTTGTAAACCAGATTGATGAAAGATTTCAATTCACGATGGAAGTAGAGCAAGGTGAGCGGTTATCGTTCCTGGACATTGAAGTGATTCGCTTTAATGGGACGCTCAAAAAGCAATTGTTCAGAAAGAAGTCGAATGCTGAGATAATACTCAATTTCAGGTCCCATCACAATTACAGGCTAAATATATGAATGATGAAGAGAATGATCATCCGAAGCCTACGCCTAACGAATTTAGAATTCTTGGACGAGGAGCTGGACAAATTGACTATAATATTCCTCAGCAATGGCTACCCTAGCGAAGTGATACAATTAAACATACGGGCCGTGAAAAGCCAAGGGCAGAATGGGGACTATGAAAGAAGAGTAAGGACGATAAAGGATTGACAAAAGTGGATATGCCTACCTTTCTGCGAACTAACTCAAAAACTGCTAATATTGCGGGTGGCCATGCAAGAGAAATCAACACTTGGCACAATTCTACTGACGCAACATGAAAGGATAGACAAATTGGATTGTTCAGGAGTTTACTGATTATCATGCGGCGCCTGCGAACAGGAATATATTGGCGAAACAGGAAGAAAAATTAACACACGAATGAAGGAACATTAGAGGCTTTGCAGGATAATGGATACGGAAATATCAGAACTTGCAGAACACATGGCAGAGACTGGACACGAGATCAATTGGAATGAAACATGAAGAAGGACTCCATACGGTGACAATTCAAGGAAAAAGACCATTGACATCCTTGGGGAGAAAAAAAACTAATGAATAGTAGATTAGAGGAAGGTAGAGTTAGCGATAACTTTGCCTACTGCTTGAGCAAACTCGGTGAAAACAAGAATATAGCAAGGCCAACAAAAAGAGACGCCTGGATCAGGGATCTATCGCTAACCGGAGGAAAAGGAATCGCGATGAACAAATTTGGTGCAGGGGGTTTGGCAATCAAACGAACACGTTGTCAGTGCGTGATGTCTACTGTGAATAACCCGCATGCGACCAGAGATAGGCGTCAACAGTTTGCTCAGATAACAGGGTTTTAATCAAGGGGACGACCTGTACAGGGCAGGCCTGATAGCTGCAAGAAAAACTGAAAGAGGTTCTGAAGTTTGTAAACCAGATTGATGAAAGATTTCAATTCACGATGGAAGTAGAGCAAGGTGAGCGGTTATCGTTCCTGGACATTGAAGTGATTCGCTTTAATGGGACGCTCAAAAAGCAATTGTTCAGAAAGAAGTCGAATGCTCTTTGACGAGTTTGTAGCTTCGTGCGGAGAATGGCAAAACTCATTGATGATACCGACTACGATGCCTGCGAAAGGTTTAAGAATGTACCAAGTCCACTGTCTGATGCTGGTAAT